CTTACCAAAGACTTGTGCCATTCCCTAGTCACCCCACAAATTATTAGTGCGGTGGTGGTGGTTGTTGTTGTTGTCGTCGTTTGAGACAAGTGTCTTGCTCTGTCACCCAGGCTGGAGTACAGTGGCACGATCTCGGCTCACTGCAACCTCCGCCTCCTGGATTCAAGTGATTCTCCTGCCTCAGCCTCCTGAGTAGCTGGGAATACAGGTGCCCACCACCATGCCCAGCTAATTTTTGTATTTTTAGTAGGGACGGGGTTTCACCATATTGGCCAGGCTGGCCTTGAACTCCTGACTTTGATCTGCTTACCTCGGCCTCCCAAAGTGCTGGGATTGCAGGTGTGAGCCACCGCTCATGGCCATTAGTGTTTAAAAACATATTTTGTTTTGTTTTGTTTTTCCTGGGTTAAGGGAGGTGGAAACAGATTACCCCAAAGCCTGATCTCTTTCATCTTCAGAAGGGGAAGAACAAATCACTGCAGCTGTGTTCTCCTGTTTATGGAGATTGATCTATATACCTAACCAGACTGCAAAATGTTCAAAGTTGGAACTCAAATACAAAACCTGCATTAATTTACAACCCTGGTTGGCAATACAAGAGTTGCAAAGGATTACTCTGTTTTAAAGGATCATAGAGGTGTTTGTTATTCTACTTTGCTTTGATGACATACTGTTGTTTTCATCTATGATTTATTTGATGCTACATCTCCAGTCTGGAACAGAGCTCTCAATGATTATAACAGTTTCCATGGAGACATATGATCTATTCTCTCATTGCTCCCCAGTGATCCATTCTCCCACGACTCCATCCACTATCCCCCAACCCCCATCCTTCCCATGGGATCCTCCAGAACTTCCAATCCTCCATCAAACATCCTCTCATCTGTTTTCTTAAGTGATCAAAAATAGGCACAGTACACAAACTTTTGAGTTAACAAGGACAAGAATAAAAATGTTAGATTACCTCAGGGGGACTGGAAAGACACAAATTAACACAATAAAAGTGTTCACATAGGGAGAGCAGCAGCAGTGAGTGGTCAGAGAAAGATGTGAACTTGGGTAGGAGCAGGACTTCTCAGTGTTTATCCTTTTAATATAATCTTAATGATGAACCATGTGAATGCATTGCTTATCAAGAATATCATGGCCAAGCGCAGTGGCTCACGCCTGTAATCCCAGCCCTTTGGGAGGCCAAGACAGGTGGATCACCTGAGGTCGGGAGTTCAAGACCAGCCTGACCAACATGGAGAAACCCTGTCTCTACTAAGAGTGGAAAATGAGCTGGGTGTGGTGGCGCATGCCTGTAATCTCAGCTACTCGAAAAGGCTGAGGCAGGAGAATCACTTGAACCCAGGAGGTGGAGGTTGCAGTGAACCGAGATCATGCCATTGCACTCCAGCCTAGGCAACAAGAGAGAAACGCCGTCTCAAAAAAAAATAATAATAATAAAATATATATATATATATATATATATATATATGATTTAGGACAGGTGCAGGGGCTCACACCTGTAATCCTAGCACTTTCAGAGGCCATGGCAGGAGGACTGCTTGAGCTAATAAGTACTTGAACAGCCTGGGAAACATAGTGAGATCACGTCTCTCCAAAAAAATACAAACATTAGGCCAGGCGCGGTGACTCATGTCGGTAATCCCAGCACTTTAGGAGGCTGAGGCGAACGGATCACATGAGGTCAGGAGTTCAAGACCAGCCTGGTCAACATGGTGAAACCCTGTCTCTACTAAAAACTACAAAAATTAGTCAAGCACAAGGCTGAGGCAGGAGAATCACTTGAACCAGGGAGGTAGAGGTTGCAGTGAACCAAGATGGCGCCATTGCACTCCAGCCTGGGCAACAGAGTGAGACTCTGACTCAAAAAAACAAAAACAGGCCAGGCGCGGTGGCTCAGGCCTGTAATCTCAGCACTTTGGGAGGCCGAGTCGGGCGGATCACGAGGTCAGGAGATCGAGACCATCCTGGCTAACCTGGTGAAACCCCGTCTCTACTAAAATATACAAAAAACTAGCCGGGCGAGGTGGCGGGCGCCTGTCGTCCCAGCTACTCGGGAGGCTGAGGCAGGAGAATGGTGTGAACCCAGGAGGCAGAGCTTGCAGTGAGCCGAGATCCGGCCACTGCACTCCAGCCTGGGCGACAGAGCGAGACTCCGTCTCAAAAAAAAAAAAAAAAAAAAAAAAAAAAAAATTAGGCAAGCATGGTGGTGCATGCCTGTAGTTCCAGTTATTCAGGGGACTGAGGCAGGAGGACTGCTTGAGTCTAGCATGCCGAGGCTGCAGTGAACCGTAATGCACCACTACATTCCAGCCTGGACAACAGTGAGACTGTCTCAAAAAGAAAAAAAAAGTGCTCATTTAATTTTTAAAAACTCAGCTTATTAGAACCTCTTCTTTATTTAGGCCACTTTCTTCCCCATCCTCAGAGAAACTGCTCCATGTTTGAAATCTAAATGCCTCAATTCGTCCTAATATTTTACGTATCTTGACCTCATCCATTACTTTTTCATCCCTAGACTTCTAAACTCCCTTTTTCCCACCCAGGTGATGACTCTCTTTACGCTAGACGTCTTCCCCAGCCCAATCTAGATACCATTTTCATTCATGTATTCAACACACTTTTCCTGAGCACTTGGTACAGCCTCTGTGGATCTGCAGTGGACATCTCTCTTCCCAGAATCCTTAACTCTCTTTCTTCCATAATCTAGTTCACTGATTCTACTAATCTCACCCTTAGTTCAAATCCACCATCTCCTTCTCCATCTCTACCCCAGGGATGCTCAGAGCTGCTAGTAAAAACCATACAACGTTGTGGACCACTGCCAACTGCCTATTCCCAACCTTAGGGACTGGATGGACCATCTTACTGGCTACCCTTACTCTCTATTCCCATCCCATGCTGAGGGTCTTCAGACTTTGAGCCATCATTTCAGATTTGTTAGTTCATCTCAGTGGATACCCTTGCCACCCACAGACAGAGAATCCATGCATTCAGTCTAGACACTGAATGAATTCCATCCCTAGGCTCTGAGAACACAGTGGCGACCAGGACAGAGACGATCCCTATTCTTGTGAAGCTTAGACCTCAGAAAGGGAAGAGAGAAAAATCAACAAGGACACAAGAAAAGCATCGCTCAGTAATGGGTGCTATGAGAGAGTTAAATATAACGGACAGTGAACGAGAGGCAACTTTGAGTGGGTAGTTGGGGAAGATTTTTCAGAAGAGGTGGCGTCTAAGTTGAGATGTGAATTGCAGGAAGGAGCCGGCCATGCAAACAGCAAAGTAAGCAGAATCACAAAGCTTCTAAGGGGGAAAGGAGCTTTGTGCGTTTCAGTGAACCAAGAGCTGATGTTGTGACCAGAGCACAGTGGGTGATGGGGAGGAGGAAAAGAAGAAAAGAAGTCACACAGAGAACAAGGGCCAGATGATAAAGGGTGATACAAGCTAAGGATGTAACACAGAATTTCTTCTAATTGGATGGAAAGTCATTGGAGGGTCTTAAGCAGGGGAACTCCTTGACTTAATGTAAGCTTTAAAAAATTATTAGGGCTGTGAAGTAGAAAGTATATTAATTATAGGCAACAAGATTGGGATTGGGATTAACCATAGGCAAGAAGATTGGGATTAACTATAGGTAACAAGATTAATTATAGGCAACAAGACTGGGATTGGGATTAATCATAGGTAACAAGATTGGGACTGGGATTAATCATAGGTAACAAGACTGGGATTGGGATTAATTATAGGTAAGACGATTGGGATTGGGATCAATTATAGGCAAGAAGATTGGGATTGGGATTAATTATGGGCAAGAAGATTGGGATTGGGATTAATTATAGGTAAGAAGATTGGGATTGGGATTAATTATAGGCAAGGAAGATTGGGATTGGGATTAATTATAGGCAACAAGATTGGGATTGGGATTAACGACAGGTAACAAGATTGGGATTGAGAAGCCACTGAGGAGTTTCTGCACTTATCCAGGTGATATTAATGGTTTGGACTAGGGTGGTATTAGAGAGATGAAGAGAAGTTAGTGAATACGTGATATACTTTGAAGGAACTGTCAGCGTTCGCCAGTGCATTGTACATGGTTGCGGGGTGCAGTGGGCAGGGATGGTGGGAATACAGCAAAGAGGGAAACTCAGGGATAACTCCCAGGTTTTTGGCTTACGCTACATAGATGGAAAATAAATTTATATTTTTTGCACACCTGAGTTCATGGTATGAGATTTATGCTAGACATCTTCATGGCACGCAAAGGGACTAAAAACCCCAAAACAACACTAAACGAGTCAGAAATACTTATAACACAATCTCAACTTCAGTAAAACAGTGTCTCACAGTATCTATAAAAGCATCCAGAACCACTCTACGAGTCCCAGGGTCACCCTTCCACTGTGCTACTGTTTGAAAGGAACCATTTCCGTTCTCGGCTGTCAGAGTGATCTTTTCCAAACGGCAAATCCGATCATATCACTGCTCTGCTTAAAAACGTTCAATGGCTCCCCGCTGCAATGTGAAGGAAACCCAAACTCCTCATCGTAGCTTATAAGATTTGCATCCTTGGGTCCTGCTTACCTCTGCAACATCAAATCCTATACCTCCTTCTACTAGCGACATTTTGCCCCAACACTTTCTGATGGTTCCTAGGATGCACCCAGCCTGTCCCCACCTTGGAACTTTTGCACTTGTTCTCTTCTGAGAACATTTTTTTCCTAGTTCTTTGAAAGTATAGCTAGTTCTTTCTTATCCTCCAGGTCTCAGCGTATGTGTCACCTCCTCAGACTGTCTGAACGGGTCCCCTTTTTGTTTGTGAGAGAGCACTCCATTCTTTCCTTCATGGTATTCATTACAAAGTGTAGTGTGGGTCTATTTACTTCTTACTCTCTCTCCCACTAGGACGTCCGTCCCATAGGAACAGCAAATGTGCCTGCCTTGTTAGATGTTCCTTCTAGAGTAGGTGGAGTCACCAAATCATACCATACCTTGCCAAAGCTGCCTTTCCCCAGCACCATTAGGAAGTTAAAATCAGTCAGTTTCATCCGGTCTCTGTTGCCATTGTTGTCAAATTTGGAGACAGTATTGGTCGTCTTTTCTTCCGGGACTTTGGTTCCCTGACTGATCTTGGCCCTCTGCAAAAAGGAAGCACACAGAAAACATGCTGAGGGTTTGAGGATGATCTTGTAGGAAGACACAGGCACACAGTGGGAAGCTGTGGTTCCTGCAGCTCCGGCACCCTGTCCCCGTGAAAAGCATGGCCGTGCATCACTCCACAAGCCTGAAACCTGTAGGACATCCTTTGCACTTCCATCTTTCTTTGATCCCTCATGTCTCAACCGTAACCAGGAACTGTCATTTCTTTCCTCCCAGCTGTCTCTAGAATTCATCTACTTCTTTCCATCTCAACGACCACTACCTGCCATCATCTCTCACCTGCACAAGGCACATTGCTTTCCTTTACACTGGGCTTCACACACGACCACAGTGAGTCTCTCACCCAACCAAGTCCCCTCTTGCTTAAAATGCCGCAGGGGCATCCCACTATTTTCACGATGAAGATTGAGGTGCTTTCATGGACTTATACGTTCAGGCCCTACCTGGCTTTCCAACTCCATCATTGCTAGGGTGCTTCTTCCCTACAATGTAGCTTCACTCTCCTTTCACTCTCCTGGATGTCCCAGGCCCCTCCAACCACATGGCCTTTGCATCTGCTGCTGCTACTGTGGTACAAATGGCTATTCTCTCCCCTTCAACAACCCAGCTAGGGGTTCACATCTTCATGTCCTCAGGGAAGCCTTCATCGATTCTGTCTGCACTAGCTTCTCCTCTGATTTACTTCATCCACTTCTCTTTCCATTAATACTGGAGGACAACTGCCTGTCCACTTGTTTCCTTCCAATAAACTGGAGACTCTCTTGTGGACACGGAATATTTCTCATTCTCTGTGGTTTTCCTGACAACTAGTATAGTTCCCAGCTAAATATTTGTTGCATATATAGATGAATGAGGGCCATGTGTGTCCTCAGTGCAATGGGAGAGGGGCTCCTTGCCATGAGCGGAGGAATGGGGCTCAGAGTGGCAGCAGGTGCTTTGGAATGAGACAAGAACCAGAAGCCATGAGCAGGAGACCTGCAGCTGCCAGGACTTCGTTACTGGATTCACTTCTAGCAGAGAGAAAACTGTGGAGTTAAAAGCTCATGTGTGGCTGGGCACAGTGGTTCACACCTGTAATTCCAACAATTTTTGAGGCTGAGACAGGAGACTCAATTGAGGATAGAGATTTGAGAACAGCCTGGGCAATATAGCAAGACCCTGTCTCTACAAAAATAAAGAAAGTTAGCCATGCATGGTGGTGTGCACCTGTCATCCCAGCTACCTGGGAGGCCAAGGTGGGAGGATAGCTTTAGCCCAGGAGTTAGATGCTGCAGTGAGCTGTAATCACACCACTGCCCTCCAGCCTGGGTGAGAGAGTGAGATCCCATCTCTCTCTCACTCAAAAAAAAAAAAAAAGCCTCGTGGTAGAATTCTCTGACATGAATCAGCTATGTGGTCCAGAACACATCAGTTAAGTCATAACACTCCTCTGCCCAATATATATACCTTCCCACTATTCTCAAAGTAAAAACCAAAGACCACAGATGACTGAGTCCCTCTGGACTCCCTCTGATTTCAGTCTCCTTTCTACTTCCACACTGGCCTCCTCGCTGCTCTCTGAATGCACCAAACACGCTCTTACCCCAAGGCCTTTGCACCTGCTGTTCCCTCTGCTCAGAGCACTCTTTCCCTGGAACTCTCTCACCTCTGATAAGAGGGCTCTTCCCTCCAACACCCTACATAAAATTGCTCTCAGCAATCTCCATCTGCCTCACTTACTTGATTTTCTCTAAAACACTTGTCACCATCTTACAAACCATATATTTACTTGTTTCCCAATTTATCGTCTTTCTCCTTATACCAGAATGTAAGCTCCCTGAGAGCAAGGATTTTGTCTGTTCTGCTTTCCACTGTTTCCCTGGTACCTAGAGGAGTGTGGCACAGAGAAGGCACTTCATTGCATTTGGTGATTGAAGCTTCCTAAACATTCATCACCTTTTCAAGACAATGGAGATAATGACATGAAATGATGTATCACAGAGTTCTTAGTATCATTCCTGGCACACAATAGATGCTCAGTGAATGGTATCTATTATTATTGTTGCATTATTTGGTTGTTTTGAAGATAAAGAGGCAACATAAATCTTTCCAAAGTGTTGAATATCAGGGAAGATTCATTCATTCATTCAAAAAACATTTATTAAGGCTGGATGTGGTGGCTGATGCCTGTAATCCCAAAGCTTTGGAAGGCTGAGGCAGGACTGCTTGAGACCAGGAGTTCAAGACCAGCCTGGGCAACACAGCCAGACCCCATCTAAAAAAAATGTTTAATTAGCTGGGCATGGTCACAGTGGGCCTGTAGTGCCAGCTACTTGGGAAATTTAAGGCAGGAGAATCCCTTAAGCCCAGGAGTTGGAAGCTGCAGTAAGCTATGATCACTATATTACACTCCAGCCTGGGCAACAGAGCAAGACCCTGTTGGTCACAAACAAACCAACAAACAAACCAAAAATTCTTATTGAGTACCTGCTACATGATAGGTGCTGCTCTAGGTGCTGAGGATACATCAGAGGGCAAAAAGGATGCAGATACTCTCAAAAAAAGTGCATTCTAGCTGGGATTGGGTCCTCCATACTGTGTCCAAAAGGTATGTTGGGGTTGCTGAGGCAGATAAACTGGTATTGGCAGCAGGAACGGTATTTATGGAACAGAGGGGAAGACACATTCAAAGAATGAAACATCATCTGTCTGGAGCATGAAGTGCAAGGCAGATATGACACAGGAGGCAGACAAAGGGTTGAAAGGACCTTAAGAAATTCAGGCTGACTGTAAGCATGACAGGCAGCCTTTGAAAGGTTTGAAGCAGGGCTATGGTATGACCATACAAATTTAAAAGGTCACTCTGAGTGGAGAGAGGAGACCCCCAGCATGTGGGCTAGGGGATCACTAGGAAGTCACTGCATTATTAAGGAGAGAAATGATGAGCCAGACATGGTGGTGTGTGCCTGTAGTCCCAGCTACTCGGGAGGCTGAGGTGGGAGGATCAGCCCAGGAGTTGGAGCCCAGGAGTCGGAGGTTGCAGTGAGCCATGATCGCACCACTGCACTCCAGGCTTAGTGATAAAGGGAGACCCTGTCTTAAAAAAAAAAAAAAAAAAAAAGAATGATAGACTCAGTTGTCTGCCGTGTAGATGGAACAAAGTGGACCTGTTTGGGAGACAGACTGACCCCGGCTGGGTAGCACACTGGGCAAGGGAGAAGGGAGATGGGAGATAAAGGACAGCTCCAGCTTCTGTTCTGGCCAACTGGCAGGATGCTGGTTCTTTCCACTGAGATGAGAAGAAGCGGAAGAGGAGCAAGTTTGGAAGTGTGGGGAAGAGGGTGGGCAGAGATGACCGGTGTGATTTCAGACATGTTGAGATCCCCTCTTCCCCACAGCAGCTTAAAACTGCAAGGTTTATTTCCCCCTCATGGGATGCATATTCCACTGTTACCACTTAGGAACCATGGCTAACAAAGCATCCACCATTTTTCTCTTCACTCATGTTTTGAAAATCGAGCTGGGTACCCCGCAGCGCGCCAGTCTCACGTGCACGGCTCTGCGGATTTTGACAAATGCACACACCCACGTAACCCAAACCCCAAACAAGACGCGGAACATTTCCCTCACCCTCCAAAAGTTCCCAGTCGACCCCCTCCCACTAGGGCGATCTCTGTTCCGGTTTCTATCCCATAGGTCAGTTCCGTCTGTTCTTTATTCAGCTGAATGGCATCGTAGAGTGTGTACTCTTGTGCCTGGCTTCTTTCGCTCATCAAAATGTTCTTGAAATGCATCCATGTTTTTGCATAAATCGGTAATTTGTCTCTTTGTGTTGCCGAATGGCACTCATTGTTGATGTTTATCCCGTCTCCTGTGTACGGGCATTTGAGTTGTTTCCCCTTTCGGCCTACTAACAACGCTGCTGTGAACATACTTGGTCAGTTTACTTTGCAGTAAGATATGTTGAGGTTTAACCCATGTGTAAATACCCAGTAAGCGGTTGTATACATGGGTTTGGGGCTTGAGTAAAGACATCTGAACTGGAGACAGATTTGGGGTGCAGAGGCAGTGAGGGGGTAGTTAAAACTACAAGGTTATCTTATTTGCAATGGAGACTGCAAACTAAAGAACCAGCGTAGGACAGAAGCTGTCTCACCTTTCTTGGGCTATGTCCTCACACCCTCCTAAATCATCACCCTCAAGCTGGCCTGACCCAAACACATTCCCTCCTCCCCTCCCCACTCCACCCCCCCATCACCTTATCACCATGTGTCCGGGCTTCTTTGAATCCTGGCTCAGGACCCATCGGATTCACACACTCCGTTCTCCAGACTGTGAAGATCCAAGTCCTGCCTGTCCCAGTCCTCAGTTCCCATCCTGGGAACTTTCCCATCCACCTGCGGGTCCCAGCACACACTCCCCATGAAGTGTGAGCACAGACCTCAAACTTCCCGATTTCTTCATTTGACTTTGATTAGCAAAACAGATAAGGACTTTTTTTGGTGGGGGCTGGGGGTGGGGTGGGGTTGATTTTTTCCTTGTCCTTCAAGGAGCAGCTAACAGCCTCATCCTTCAGCGCTAGAAGCTCCCTTCTCTCCTCTGAATCGGGGGCTGGCAGCCCTCTTTCCTCCCTCCCTCCCAGCTTGCTTTTATAACGGTTCCCATGGGCATGTTAATTTAACTTCTAGAATCTAGATCAGAAGACTAATAACCCTGGAAAAAAAAAAGAAGTCTAATAACCCTGTTGATCTGGTCTGCACAGTGTTTGCTGTCATTTTAATATTTAATTAGTTGCCAACTGTTGAAAATTTGGAGATATGAAAACCCAGATCCCCAGCTTCTTTTGAAGAAGGGGATCTGCTAACACGGGGTGATGCCAAGCTCTTTCGCCTTCTTGTTGTTTGCCTGGCTCCTGAAAACACCTGGGTTTGTGGCCCCTACACAGTGAGCCTTCAGAGGACAGGAGCCCCGTCCTTTTTCCTTCGAAATATCCCGTTGT